AATTGACCTAAGCTAGACAGATTCTGCCCTGCTTTAGGCCTAATACCCTAAAACACATGCAATTCACATCACCTCAATGCTTTTTCCATAAAAAAGGGAACTGGATTCTAGGGTTTCCAGTGGGAGATAAGCAACCAGGTTTCCTTCAGGTAAGTAGCCTTGTTAGTAGCTGTCAGCCATCTCCAATTCTACCCCAGGCAAGCTCTGGGGAGGAACTCAGGGTGAGAGGACAAGACTGGTTATTTTAAGCTATGTGCCTCATTTAAAAGAATTTCATGTTGACCTTTCTAAAAAATATATATTAAATAATGGAACAAAATTTCGTTATTAAGACTTATTCTAGTATATTGCCTACTATCATAATAAAACAATGTATTAATCTAATCATAGTAATGGTACACCTCCTTTTAAAAAATACTTTTTAGTTATACATGGCAGTAGAGTGCTTTTTGACATATTATACATACATGGAGTATGAATTATTCTAATTAGGATCCCATTCTTGTGGCTGTACATGATGTGGAGTTGTTTCCCTGGTCCCCTCCTTCAACTACAGCATCAAACCAGGTAATGAACGGGCTGCTGTATCTCCCACTCCTTCCCACATGCAGAATGTACACACAGCAACTTCTGGGAGTACATCCGCACATGGGATTTTTAAAAGTACATCTATTCATTAAATTTCCCCCAAATACCCTAGTCTACAAATGAGCTCCATTCTTTCCTAAGCCTCTATGTTATGATTTTAGGAGAAACTATCATTTTACTTCAAATATTAGCATTCTAGTCCTCACAGCATTTCATAGAACAATGAGAGCATAGTTACACAATTTAAAAAAGAGAACTAGTTCAACCACCACTGCAATAAATTCATTTGGGGTCTGGCTTCAATTTACATATTGTAATAACAATTATAAACTTATAATTTACAAATGTCTACAGAGATAAACTGGGCAAAACAACCCAATTTAGGGTAAACAGCAAGAGACTGGCTCCTGTGCGTGTAGATACATGGAAGACAGTATGTCAGAAGCTGAGTTCAGATCCTAAGGGAGGAAATCAGAGAAAATGAAGGTAAGCCTAAATGCAAGGAAAACCAGGCACTCTGGATATTTCAGAGCTCCTGGGCTCTGTGATATGGAAATGATGAGTGGACACAGCACTGTATTCACAGGGGGGCAAAGCAAGCACGAATGGTGATGTGATGACTTTGACAGAGAAGGCAAAGAAGCAACAAGAACTTCTGCCATATTAGTATTTATCAGTGCCTGTGAAACAGTCTGGGACACAGTGTTATGAAGATGCTGCTTTTCATCCTGTTCCCAGCCCAGATGATTAGTTTTCAAGAAGGCTCCTTACATTTCTAGTTTATGTTCTTCCTTTGTTGTCCACATTTAAATATCTCTCTGGACACCTGTTTATCCGCTCTATACATACAGAGCACCTGCTAAGAAAGTACCCTAAGCTGGGAGGTACTGGAAACACAAAGGTGAGTAAGAGGCTGGCCCTGTACTCTGTGGTGTTCCTGTCTAGACTGCACAAACCATAACACAACAAAACAACAACAACAATAAAACACCAGGAGCCAAGAGAAGCAGTCACAATTTTTTGGTAAGAGTGGACCACAAAACTCAAGGCTCACTCACATCCTTGGACTTCTGAGCATCAGTCCATACTCTGCCTTCCCTTGGCAACAAGGTTCCTGGACAGCAATATGCAATTTTACATTTGCCTGGTCACTGAACCATCTGCTTAACCAGCTTCCATATCTCCACGGCAAGAAGTGTTTTCCTTCAAAACAGGTATTGAGGATAAGGTCAATTGTGAAGCCTATTTGTTAAGTTCTGAGTTAGGTTCAAACTCTGTTATTTAATTGGTAAAAATGAGGTGTTAGACAGGAACCAGTCTGCACTTAAGTGGTTGAAAATACAAACTGATATTTTTGAAGGCTCTAGGGAATGACAGAAGGAAAAAAAAATATGCTTTAGGGCCTCAGTGAAAAATAAGGGGAGAAAGTACTCATCTCTGTATTCAAAAACTCTGAAGGGTTCATATTTGAATCTGAGGGAAAGATGTCCTCTTACATATTATGTGGTCTTGGTAAACATTTATAAAATGAAAATTTAAGTTTAATATTTAAATCTCTGTCAAAAATTAATTACCTGTCATGAATATCCTTCTTCCTACTCCTACACATCCACTAGTGCCTCAATTCAGGAAAGTAAATTGAATTTCCTTCTGGTCTAATGATAACAGATGGCTTCAGTATTCAGCAATTTGAGTTATCTGACAGAAAACAGTACCCTATTCAAACATTTTGTTACCTATCAACTGCCAAGCAAGAAAACCACCAATTCTGAAACTAGGCGGAGAGAGAGAAGAGAGAAGAGAGAGGAGGGGGAGGGGAGCAGGAAGGGAAGAGGAGGAGGGAGGGGAGGGGAGGGGAGGGATAAAGAGAAGAAAAGGAAATAAAACCAAAGAGGCCAATCCCTTGGAAAATAACTTCAAGAATCAACCTAAAAGCCATAATTTCTTGGGTATGGGATTTCCTAGTATTGTGCTGACTAAAATGGTTTTTATACCTGAGTCTTAATATTTTATTTTTGAAATGGTTTTATACACACTTAAAATCCTTCCCTCTTACCTGCCTATTCTTCATTTCAGCCACAGAACTAATCCTATTAATCCATGAAGGGGATTGATGAACCAACAATGATAACCAAGAAATAGAATGTTTTCTCTGAAGGGAGCAGCAATACAAGCTGTGGTCACCTAAAATCACCATAGCTACAACCACTGTTCTTCCACTGTACCACAGGGGCTTCTTGGGCCACTACCTGAAAACAAACAACTGCTGGTCACTGAAGAGAAGAGTCTCTGTTACAGAACACACGATGGAGTAGAAAATATTTACATAGGTCTGTTTCAAAACCTGTACTGAGTATTCTGAGCATCAGGGCAAGAAATGCAAAAACTTCACATTGCCAAAAATACCAATACTTGAAACATCTGAATTTTTCCCCCTTCAACTGCTATAATTGTCCCTTCACACCTAAACTCCTGGAATAGCTTGGTCTCCAGGCTTCTAATAAACTGTGTTATGATTTGGATATGACGGGTTTCCCAAAAAGCTCAGGTGTTAGATGATGCAGGAATGTTGAGAGGTAAAATGATTAGGTTATGAGAGATGTAACGTCATTTTCCGGATTAATAATATGAATGGATTACTGGGTGGCAACTTTAGGTAAGTGGGATGTGGCTGAAGAAAGTAGGTCACTGGGGATGCTCTCCAGGATTACATTTTGTCCTAGTTCCTCCCTACCCTCCTGCTTCCTGATTGCCATATGCTGAGCAGCTTTTCCCCGCCATGGCCTCTGCCATGATGTTCTGCCCCACCTTAATTCCACAGCAATGGGACTGAATTGGCTGTACGTGGGCTGAACCGCTGAAACTGAGCCCCAAATAAATTTTTCCTCCTTTATGTTGTTCTTTCACATATTTTGATCGTAGCAATGCAAAGTTGACTGACACGGTCCCCTACTCTGATTCCTTCAGCTCTCCATCCTGAAACCTGTCTGTCTATTCCCTTTTGATTCATAAACCTTCAATAGCTACTTAGTATATATATATAAAAAGTCAGAATCTCCTTGGCTTGGCACTCAAGGTCTCATAAAGTTTGGCCCCAGCCTACCTTTATAAATCATGTGTTTGTTCTGTCTGATATAAATCTCCTTTCCACACATGACACTCTGACAGTTCAAGAAAGCAATCCAACAGCCTTCTTTCTATTCAGGACAACTTTACCTCCCCTTTCCTACTCAACCTAGGTGCAAAACTTCCCTACGTCTCTCTGCTCATCTACAATCCCCTCCAAATTCAAGATCTAGCTGAAGAAGCTCTACAATTTTTTTCTCCTTTTGAATTTCTATAGCATTGGACATGGAAAACATCATTTGCCACAAAGATGTAGTAAGGCAATGAGACCATGCATCTGAACCCTTCATCTTCCATAGAAATCCTCTCATATCTTGTACTTTTATTTGTTTATTCACATACTTATCTCTACAAATGGGCTGTCAGCTCTTCGAATTTAAAATCCCTATTTATTGTTTTTTGTATATCTTATAATAAATAAAATTCAGTAAATACTCTGGAAATTTTTAGATTAATAGATGCACCTTCCTCACGTGTACAAAAAACAATCATCAGAAAAGGCAACGATGCTGGGAAATGATAAGAAGCAGAGCATTTTAACAGGGCCTCACAAAAATAATGGCAACAAAACAATGTTGGCAAACTTAGCTGATCCTTAACATATCAGAGAAATTCAAAGAGAAACAAAACTCTCAGAGGGGGCAAGCTGAGGGATGGCATAAGGTGTCTGTTTTGCAAGTTCTTGGGTTTTGTTTTGTTTTGAAACCGAGCACATGACAGTCTTTTTGCTTATGCTGAAGGTCACTTTGGTTTGGGCTGCGTCAAACAGAGACCCACACCAAAAGATCTATGCCAACATTCCACATACTCCCCAGGAGCTAGCCTGGTTTTAATCATTTTCTTTATTTCTGGGGCATATTTCATCTGCATATATAGTATACCTCAAAGTGCTTCCCACACACTTTGCACCCAAGTAACAATATATCAGATTATTTTCTGTAACTCTTTTCTAGGGAAACATCTGTAGATCACAAACAAACAGACATTTTATAGCTTTTAACACTGTCAAAATAACTGTAGATTTTACGGACAATACTTGGGAGCACATTGCTAGGAGTCACTTAAATCCATTAAAATGTTGTCTTTCAAAAGCATTACCACTATAAATCACTCCAATACGACTTCAAATGTCATGCTAACAAACGCCACAAAGCAAGAAGCAATCTACTCTGGAATGAAAACTTAAAGACATAGTATTCTCCATTGAATTATATATAATTAAAGAGATTTGTAGGTATTACTGAGTAGACTTAACAAATATGAGAAAACAGATGGAAAATTCCTACCTTGTGTCTGCTTCTTGTTCACCGCATTATCAGCTTTGTGTCGTTTCTAGTTTAAAAGCAAAATGAATAACAGTGAAAAAGTGAATGA